AGACTTGAGATGTAGTGTTATTTACAGAAGGCACTACGGACTTTCGACGCGTGAGAAAAGGCGGATGTGTACTTTTGTGCTAAAGTAAATGTATGGTCTGCCAGTAAAGCCAACAGAAACCAAGTAGTAAAGCCCTGAATGCTCGTAGGACAGGATACTTTTCAAGACAACTATAAACTGATTTAGGTCACCAAATTAAGACTCAGTAAACGTACCACAGGAACGTTTCGGATTGATAACCCATGGTTTGCTGGACCTCACCAACTCTGTCTCAGTGTCCCTGTGTTTGGCAAGAAATGACCGCGTCGCTTCTGAGGTTCGTCGTGCCACCCTCAGAACACACAGATGATGTCTGCTGGGCGTTAAAAGCAGTTGGGAGTCGCGCTTGATGGCAGCATCCCGTGGGGGAGACACGTTGGCGCATCGCGTGCCTCTCCGTGCCCGTCCGCTTCGGCACGCCCGCCCCCGGCGTCCTCCTGCCCTTAATCACGTTTTGGTATCTCATCTCAGACAGTCTGGCCTGTCTGTGTGGAACACGGGTTAACCGCTCGTCTGAGCAACGTGGCGTTGCAAGACCCGATTGTGGGCAATCGCGAGGCGGTTACGCGTGGAAGGGACCTGCTGCGGCGCAGGGCCAATTCCTGCGCTCCAGCTTACCGCGGGACTCGCACGCGGGCAGTCAGGTGGCACAGTTAATGCAGAAGTGGCTTTGGGATTGAGGTGCAGCACCTCAGCGCACTCAAAATTTGCAGGTTTATGCAATGGTCACTCCCGGTGATTGTGTTAATTAATTTTTTTTTTTGTATTATGGTTCAGGATAGCTGCTGATGGTTCAATCTATTTTCAGGCAGTACAGGAAAAGTAAGAATGACTGAAGTCTGTTTAAAAAGGTGATGTCATCAGTTTGCATGCCCGTGTTGCTTCTTATGAAAAACCCCATGCCTTCATGTTATCCTTAACGTAAAAATACCCAACTGTTGTCTTTTGAGTGATATTAATCAATACTGTGGTTTTGAAATGATTACAGCATCTGCTGGCTATTATTAAGATAAAATGAAATTCTTACAATTCCACGTTTTTTTTTTGTTAAATTGCCAAGTGCATTGCTAGATTTCAGCATACCTGATGCATTTTTATTGGCAACTAACCCTGTAATGCAATACTATATATTAATGAATAGTCAGATTATATACGTGTTGGTCTCTTACATCAGCTGCCATTTCCAAGTCTGTTAGTGGTTAACGGGTTTCTTCTTTTTTGTTAGTATAAACTTTATAGTGGAATAGCCACAACTGGAGTTGGGAAAACTGGCTTTTGAGTAGTCCATTATTTCTACATGCAGTTAAAAAGACTGACCACAGGAGAACAGCCATCAGCATCCTTTTCTTACGTGCATGATGGGATTATTCCCACATCCAAGCTGAGTATGTAGATGTTTATGAGGGTGGGTTATACCCAGACATTCCTTTTATGGCTGTTTTGATTAGGCAGAAGCTCTTTTTGCCAACCTGTAATGGTCTGTTTTCCATTCAATGTGATATGCTTAACAGGTACTCAAACTCTAAGACCCAGTTGCAAGGGCAGAATTTAACTTTCCAGCATATATTTTTTTTAAGGCAGCGCTTTCAAGGGGTAGGTTTTAAAATCAGCGTCCAGATGAATACCAAGTATTAGGAATCTTACAGGTAACAGAAAAAGTTGCTGTACTTTTAGGTTAAATACCATGGTATTCTTAAAGTGCTTTGTAGGTAAAGCCATCAATATCCTTAACCTATATTAAAAATAATCCGTAATACTTTTGTTCAAAGGCTTATTTTAGGTAGGTCCTTCTGGGTTTGTAAGTACTAGCAAGAAAAAAAACATTACAATCAAGCTGTTTTGATTTTAATCTAGCCTGATTCTTATCACCTAAGTTGTACTGATAAGTAATACACCCAAGCCATTGTACCACATAAGGAAGAGAATTCACGGAAACTATACAATTATTCAGACAAAACTGATTCCTGTGAATTTATATTCACGTTTGTATTTCTAATGTTCTGAAATAGCAGCTGCAAATTCTATGAGCTGGCCCCTCGCATATACATGTTTTGTTAATCTTACAAGTAGCACCTTAGAGAGGATTTAACTTTTTTCAAAACTGTGTTGTTTTAGTCACCTGGTCTTTTTTTTGCCCCGCGTTGCTCAAAGGAGCAATGGAAGCAAGCCCCTCATCTGCCCAGTAGGCCAGTACAGAGCCTCAGCACGAGACTTTCCAGGTATCACCCAGGTGCCCTGAAAGATGGACCCGTTTTCCTCACTTGAAAATTCTTCCCCTTTTTCTAAGGTCACAGGGATTGCATTGATAAAATACACTTAAGAGCAGCAAACAGCCCAACCTTTGTTCTCAGTATTTCATGATACTTTGTATCTCTGCAGTTCAAAATAAACACACACATTCACAACTGCAACATAGGACAACTCTCAATTTCATTGTTTTTCCTGGGTGAAGAGGAGAGCTAAGTCATTCCTGCTCCACTTGCAGGGGTACTCGCACGTAGAGACGCTCCTGGCTGCCCTCTAACGCTGTATCCCCGGGCGAATTTTCAGAGTCCTAACATCCAGTTGGACTGGGTATGTTATCTGGTGCTAAGTTGGTAGGGTGGGAATGATTTATGGAAAAATATGGAAAATGAGGAGGAACAGCCCAAACCTTCCTGCTATTCGGGTGAAGACTGAAGCGACTTCCGCCGCTCAGCGGAGGCGCGGTGCGCAGTGAGGGGCAGGCTTTTCATCTAATAAAACCCGCTGGTTGGTTTTCTGATCTTGATAATTTCTGCTCATTGGCTCCAATCAGCGGATTAAAGCCCAGTCTCTGAGGAGTTCTCATTTTAACTCTAGACTGGGGGGAAAGCAGGGGAAATGGGAGGTACCAGACACTGAACGTTTTGGGTTTGTTTTTCTTATTTATTTTGGTATTTGCCAAGTTGACACAACTGAGTAGTGTCCTCCTACACAACTGATACAGGGAGATGCACAGCATAAATTTATGGAACCTTTTATGACAAAATCAGCTGTCCAGCCTCATCCCCTCACAGCCACCATTTAAATCAAGTCCATTATAACACCACCCCATCTCAGGCTACACATCAGCTGCCTCGGAGACAAATCTCTGCTTTTTAGAAACACTTTGAGGTTTTCTGTCCTCAAAAAATCTTTTCATTTCCCCAACCCCCTACACTGCGAATTAAAATCTCCAGCCAGATCATGCTTCTGCCTTCCAGACACAGGGCAGCGACCACAGCTGAAAAGTAACCATATGGACTTCATGATTTTATGTACTGTGACAATAAAGCTTTTATGACATTCTAGGTGGTTAAAAATGGCAGTAAGGAGCTCTTAAACATGGCACAGTCATGTTGCTTTTCTGAACCGGCAGACCTGCCAACAGTGCATCAAAAGCTGTAATTTCCTGTGCACTGAAGCCCCCTATCTCTGCTGCCTCCAGCTTTGTGTCCCAGGGCTTGTGCCTGTGTGCTAACAAATCTCTATTGTCCAGCGGGGCGAATAGTGGCTGGGACGAAAGAATTGCTGTCTGGTTTCTATTCAAATCCAGGTAGTCAGATATATGAATGGAGTTTCTCGAACAGCCATGTGAATAACCTCTGCTCTGCGTGGAGGCTGCAAATGCTTAACTGGCTGGCGGGTCTGTACCCCGGCGCCTCAGCTGCAGAAAGCACAAGAGTTTGAAATACACTTTTAATGCTCCTTGTGGCTTTTAATACTTATTAACTTTTAAAATATGCTTTCTCGCATTCCTAGACAAAACAAGGAGGGCAAATCATCCCCTTCTCAACTTTCTAAACTTGTTGAGGAATTCTACTTACAGCTCTGAAAAATGAGTTGGTTTTGCTAAGAAACCGATAGGAAAAGTTTACGAAAATTAGATTATTTTCTTAGAGCGTACCAGATTTATAAGTGTATGTTGACTGCCTCTTATTGTAGCCCATTGCAAGCGTCACAGTTAATAACTGCAGAGGGTTTGGGGAGCAAATACGTTAAATTTCTTTTGGAGTAAGTTACAATAAGGAAAATTCGTGGTATGATAGTTTGAGCAGGAATGGGAGGGATTCTGCAAATCGGGGTTCATTTTACCGCTGGGTTGTGTCGGTTTTGGTAATTAACGGCAAGTGAAATAAGGCTTCGTGGAAGCGAGACCTCTTCGCCAAGCTCTGCCCGCACAGCCAGAAAACCAAACCCCGCAGCCTCGGCCCCTCTCCCACCCCACAACCGCTGTCGCCCAGCAGTCGCCGGTCGCGATAGCTCCCGCAGGCGGGCGACCGACCGCTCGTCCCCGCGTCCCGCAGGTGCCACCGGAGGCGGCGGAGCCGGACAAAAGCGGGGCCCCGGGGTGGGGGGGGGGATCTCCCTCCTCCGCGCCCCCGGCCCCGCCGATCTCCCCACGTCCCGCGGGGCCGGGCGCTGGTGCGGCGGGGCGGGGACGGCTCGGCTGGGGCTGCCCCCCTCCTTTGTGTCCCCGTCTGGCTCAGTTCCTCCCCGCCAGCCCTCGGGCGACACGCGTGTCTGGTTACCGACCCAGACCCGGGAGCAACTTCCAGCGTTGGGGAATCGCTCGAGTTTCTCCTTCGGGGGAAGAAGTGTGTGTGTGTGGGGGGGGGACGGACGGACTGCCGCCTGGTTCCCCCCCCCGCCTTCCCCGGGCAGCCGCAGGGAGCGGCTCCCTCCAGCTGCGTTACATTAGCAGATGTGCGCGTGTGTGTGTATATATGTATATAAAAAAAAAAAAAAAAAAGAAAAAAAAAAAAGGAAAAAAAAAAAAAAAACAACCCACGCTTCTGTTCGGAGAACAAAGGAACACGTGCAGAAATGAGACTGGGGGAAAAAAAATCACCCCCCCGCCTCCCGCCAGCCCGTGGGGACGCAGGGCGGCCCCCGCCCCCCCGGCGGCTCCCCCGGCGGCGGCAGCCCCGGCCGGCGGGCACTCGCGGTTAAAGCCTTACCTGGCGGGGCGGCGCGCTCCGGGGGAACGGGCTCCGCGCTTGGCTCGCTCTCCAAAAAGTTGCTGGGGGCTGTGGCGGGCTGGCGGCCGGGCGGTGCGGGCTCCCCCCGCCGCCCTCCCCCCGGGCCCGGGCCCCGCAGCCCCCGCCGGGCCCCGCCGCTGCCCCCGCCGGCCGCGCAGCCCCGGCCGCCGCCCCCCGCCCCGCTATATAGAGCCCAGATGACGGGCAGGGGCGCAGCGCGGTCATGTGCGCGTTACGGCGACGCCGATTCGCTGTCCCGCCGCGGGGTCGCCTCCTGATTGGGCCGCGCGCCGGAGTGTTCCCGCCCCCTCTCCCCCCCCCCCACCCCGCCGTTCCCCCCCCCCCCCCCCGCCGGCGGGGCGCAGGCCGGGGCGCGGGGCCGCTTGTTTGGGTGCCGGGCGGCGGCGGGGCTGTCTGAGGGGCCCGGCGCCGCCCCCGCCCCCGCTCCCTCCCCTCCCGCGGCGGCGGCCGGGAGCGGTTTATTTCCTTACCCTCATCGCACAATGGGATCAAAACACCCCGAAACGAACACACCACACACACACACACACACACCCCCCCCATACACCCCCCCCAACCCCGGCCAAGGCGCCGCTTCCTCACACCCCGCCGAAGCAACACCTCGGGTGCCCCCCCCCCCCCCCCCCCTTTTGTGGGGCTGTCACCCCGATTCCAGCACCCCCCCTCAGGCCGGGGGGCCCCGGCCCGTTCTCCCGGCGGGCAGTCGGGGGGCTGCTCCCCTCGAGCCTCCCCCAGCCCGCGGGTTTATTGCCGGGCTACCGGGAAACTGGGTCAACTGGGCAGCGCGGCCCGGTGCGGCACCTCCGTGGCTTCTGTTGAACGCGGGTCGCCTTCGTGTCGATGCTCGAAGGCGCGGATGCGTCGCGGTAAGGTTCCAGCGCTTTCGGAGCGTGCTGCAGGCCGCTGGGAAACGTCTCTGGGATTGTCCCTTCCAGACCCCCCCCGCCCCCGGCCCATCCCGTCGGTAACGCGGCCTCTGAGCGCTGGGTAACGTCCTCCCGTCTGCTTTGCAGAGCGTCCCTGCTAGGAACGACACCGCTGTCGGAGCGCGGCAAGAACTGCTGCCATTTTTATTGCAGGATAGAAAGAAAATGTCTTTAAGCGTGTTCTCCAGTGAAGCCACCTGACGACAAATGAATTCCACCAACTTGCTAGTTTCGGTGGGTTTAGACTAACAAAACTCGAAGCTGTTCCCTCGGACTTGTCTGTAACCTCTCCCTGTGCTGGAAGAGTCAAGCAAGACACTCGAGTGTCTCGGGAACATGGAGTTACATAACGAGGATGCACTAATTTTGTTTTCGTTACATGTTTTCAGTGGGAACGCAAGACCGTGGAGATAAGCAGGGAGAAGTTAATGTACTTGTTCCATTTTTTCTTCTCATTCTTGTTATTTTCCAGTGGCTTTAGTCTTCTTTCTCTGCTTGTTTTCAGTCGTTGACCTTTCTTTCCATCCTGAGGACATTTTGACATGGGGAGACCAAAGCAGTGGACACCCTCCTTGGAGTGGAGGTTGGACTAGATGATTCCTGAGGTCCCTTCCAACCCACACTCCTATAGGTGAAACGCACCGTAGGAAAGGTTCCATTTCTCCAACACTACGCGGCTGTTCTCCCTCTGTTTTGCTGCTGTTAAAACACTTTTAGTAACGACTGTGGCAACCTACTGCTGACGCTGGGTTCCTCTGCTTTGGCAGTTCGGCCGTGTCAGCTCCCCGAGGCAGCGACCTCGCACTGGCGAAGCCGCAGGTGACTGGTGGAAGGGAAGGTGCTGCAGCAGTAACGCGGTTCCTGCCCTTTTGTTGCTTCAGCAGAACTTGGGTTTGCTGAGCGTTTTTGGACACGTCGTGATGTTGGCACTAGGAGCCCCTCCTGGGACACAAAGGAGGGGAGGGCTGGGTCAGGGATCCCTTTTGGGCATTCTTGGCATGGATTTCTATAGAATTCCCCCTCAAGGGCTGGATGAATGCAAAATGCAAAATGAAAATGAAATGAAAAAACCAAATGGCAGTTACATGGAACTCGTCCAAAAGGAAGCAATTTGGGGGTGGGGAAGGTTAATATGCTGCTTTAATGGTGACCCAGGCTCGTATCAGTGTCACACAGCTGCTATTGATGTGGATGAAGAGGTTCCCACCTCCTTGTCGTAAGTGTGAAGGAGATAGCTCCTATCTGCTCTCCGTTCTGTCCACAATAACCATTCTCGTAACTTTTGCAGTTTCCAGGCAGCTTCCTTTCTGTCTCCTCTTTCAAAGATTATCTTTCACTTCTTGAATCATTTGGCGATTCTTCTAAAACATAATTGATACTATTGTTGAAATACGTGGTCTTGTGCATACTGGGGTATGAATGAGCTTCTAAGTGGTCAGTTACAGGCCACACTGGCTGAAAAGCATACAGTGTATTTGATCCCGTTTCTGAAAAATAAAAAATTAAACTGTAAGAGTGTCTCTGAGGGTAGTATGGTCTTTACGAGCCATCTGAATGGCTACTGAACTCCAGGAGCTTTTACAGACTCCTGTGCATGGCTTCATAGACCTACTGCATTTCCCAGGCCCCATATGGTGCCCAAGTAATGAAATCTTTTAATATAATATCCTTGTGTTTTCTGCTAATGGTTTGTTCTTAAGACTTGCTTTAAAAAAAAAAAAAAAAAAAAGTGGAGCAAATTTTATTGAAAAACATTTAGGTCTATATCCCAGATTGGATTCCAGCCTAGTGCTCCTGGGACATTAGAAATCCTGAACTAGCAGTTATTTACTGCTGTCCGCCTCATGCAAGATTGTGATAATTTTAAAACTTCAGTAACCAAGAGTCAGAAGCCCTCTGGTAAACCAATTTTAAGATTTGCAGAAATAATATGAAAGTCATCAAATACGAAATCTTAGGGTCTAGAAAAAGAAACTGTGTTTTGGCGTAGTGTGTAAACATAATCATATCCCAATCTCCAGGTGCCTCTTTCAGTCTCTCATGTCAGAGGTGATCTTCAAGCTGTTAAGTTGCTTGAATATTTTGAGGCTCATCCTATTTATATTGCTCTCCTTGTCAAAACACTAGGTCCCGTTCAGTTGGATGTACGTCGCGATTTCTAAATTAGAACCGCGTTTCACTAAATCTACGGAAAACATAATTTCCCATTGGGAAGTAAACTGCTGGAGCAGTGGTAGAGAGCAAGTTCCCCAGGCAAGGGCACCGCAGCCGAGGATGTTGTGGCATGGCTGTTCTGCAAGCGGGAGCCGGGCCCTGCAGGACCCCGTCACTTGTGATGGGGCTGGGAGGAGGAGGTGGGGGGCTGACCCAGTTTTCAACCCTTAAGCCATTTTACAGTACTGTAAATCAACTTTGTGTTACATTTTGCTGCATAAAATTTACCCAGGTCAAAAGGAAAAAGCAGTGGAGATCTGTAGAGGCACCTGAAAGAGAGGCAGTGCCGGTACTCCCTGGAGCTTCTCCCAATTCTTCGTGAGTCTTTCTGGCAGTTCCCGTCCTGGAGAAAGGCTGTGACAAGACAGGGGAAGGCGGAATCTTGCAGTAAGCTTGCTCAGTTCCAGTACGCTTGACCCAGACAGGCAAGCATCTGGGTCGAATGCGTCTCATTTCTCTTGATACCTTAAAGCCCAGCAAGCTAAGAAGTGAGGGCTTAAATGATAGATGCTTGGTTTTTTCTTCCCCTATATAGTCTTTATTGTAGCTACAGAGAAATTGAGAGTGTTAATCTGAATGTAGGATTTGTGACTGGGGCACTCTGCTGTTCTGTAAATAATGGCTTTCCTGGCCGCGCTGCGGAGGGACGCGGGCTGCCCCGTCACCGCAGCGGCATGGGGAAAAGGGCAAGAGTGGCTCATCCGCATCGCCCTCGACTTTGCTAATGGGTGAAGCGTGCGTGAGAAATGCGGCAGCAAGGGTATTTAGGAACCAGAAAGGCGGCTCTTAGCAGGGATGCAGCTTGACAGTGGGGTGAAGAGAAAGCAAAGGGGCTTGACTGATAAGAGCCGCCTTCAGACAAATTCGTGCTGCTAGGGTGTTTTGCCGTCCATTCACTGGCTGATTGCATTTCATTCAAATGTTACAGCAGCCTTCAGTGTGAAGGCCAGTGCTGCTTTTCACTGTAAAATAGTTCCTGCAGTCGAGGGCTGTGCTAAGCTTGAGTTACTGCTCCTCAGAATGGAGTGGGAGTGCCATCCTTTCCCTAGTGTAGTACAAGCTCCCGGTCGCCGTTTCTCCTCGGCGCTCATTTCCAAAGAGTGTGAATTAAGTTGTGCAACACCAATAACCGTTTGTGACTGAGTGAGCAGATCCTGGCGCTGAGAGGAGCCTGGAGTCCTGCACGGCACGACCCGGCCTCTTCCAGCGGCCGGCCTGCGGCGCGGCCCTGCGCTGGTTGGACCAGCTGGGTTATCTTCTTATCCCTCCCCGCTGCTGTTCCTCTTCCTTTCCTCGGGTAATTGAAACGTGCCTATTGTCGAGTTCATTCAGACAAGATTGTAAAACAGAGTTCTTAAGAAAATAGTTTGGAAAAAGTTAATTTGGGTCAAAGAGGGATTAACTGAGGAAAATGTTTCTGCTTGTACATCCTTCAGCTGAGAAGTAAGCAAGGAAAAACTTGAAAATAAACCTCGTTGAGCCCATTTTTTTGGAGTTATTTTGTATGTAGTCTGTCCCTTTGGTAGCTGTCATTACTTAAATCCGTCTAACTCAATGAGGAAGGAGGGAGATTCAGTTTGAGACCAAATTCAAAGTGAAAAGATTTGGCCAGTAGCATGATGAAAGGGGTAAGTGTAGGTAGAATGGGATTAAACAGGAGTATTCTTGGTATTGACCACACAGTTGAGAGGTCACTACTCTAACACTCTTTGCAGTCTTATTTAAAGCTAACTTGGTGTCTCCTTTGCGTGAAAAAGGAAGGAGAAAATTCATTTTTAAAAAAAACGACACGAAACCGAGGGAGGTCGGAATTGCTGAAGACTCACTGCAGAGCTGGAGGAGCAGCGTCGGGGACAGGCCGTGTCAGGACGGAGGCTTGCGTTTCAGCGGGAGGGGCGGCGGCACTGCCGGCGCCGGCGCTGCGCGGGGGGGGCCGGGCTGCAGCGTGTCCCCCCGCTTCCCCGGGCAGGGGGCACCCTGGC